TCTTGATTTTAGTATGGCTTTTGATACTGTCCCACATGGCCTTATCATAAATAAACAAGGGAAATGCAACCTAGATGGAGCGACTATAACGTGGGTGCAAAACTGGCTGGAAAACCATTCCCAGAGAGTATTTAGCAGTGGTTCACAGACAGGCTGGAAGGGCATAACGAGTGGGGTCCCAGAGGAATCAGTTCTGGGTCCGGTTCTGTTCAATATCTTCATCAATGATCTAGGTAATGGCATACAGAGTACACTTATAAAGTTTGTGGACAATACGAAGCCGGGAAGCGTTGCAAGTGCTCTGCAGGATAGGATTAACATTCAGAATGATCTGAACAAACTGGAGAAATGGTTTGACGCAAATAGGATGAAATTCAATAACGACAAATGCAAAGTACTCCATTTAGGAAGAAACAATCAGCTGCACACATACTACATGGAAAATGACTGCCTAAGAAGGAGTACTGCGGAAAGGGATCTGGGGGTTATAGTGGACCACAAGCTAAATATGAGTCAACAGTGAAACGCTGTTGCAAAAGAAAGCAAACATCCTTCTGAGATGTATAAGCAGAAGTGTTGTAAGCAAGACATGAGCAGTAATTCTTCCGCTCTACTCCATGCTGATTAGGCCTCAACTGGAGTATTGTGTCCAGTCCTGGGTGCCACATTTCAGGAAGCATGTGGACAAATGGGAGAGAGTCCAGAGAAGAGTGACAAAAATGACTAAAGGTCTGGAAAACATGACCTATGAGGGAAAACTGAAAAAACTGGGTTTGTTTAGTCTGGAAAAGAGGAGATATGACAACAGTTTTCAAATATGTAAAACGTTGTTACAAGGAGGAGGAAGAAAAATAGTTTTTCTTAACCTCTGAGGATAGGACAAGAAGCAATGGGCTTAAATTACAGCAGGGGAGGTTTAGATTGTGCATTAGGAAAAACTTCCTGTCAGGGTGGTTAAGCACTGGAATAAATTGCCTACGGAGGTTGTGGAACCTCCATCACTGGAGATTTTTAAGAGGACGTTAGACAAACGCCTGTCAGGAATGGTCTAGATAATTAGTCCTGCCACGAGTGCAGGGGACTGTCTAGATGACCTCTCGAGGTCCCTTCAAGTTCTATGATTCTATGTCTACACCCATCCCACAGGGTCCTAGACCCTGGGCTCCACCCTGTGCCCAGAAGTCTACACAGCAATGAAACAACCCCGCAGCTGAGCCCTGCAAGTCCGAATTGGCTAGCACAGACCAGCTGTGTGTGTCTAGTTCCTGTGTAGACGTACCCTCCATTGCTATTTTGGGGAGACTTTACTGGTACTAGCAATGGCGGAAGTACAAGAGTAGCGCCATTAGCTGCTAGTATTTTAATCACTGTGACCTCTAGCCCAGTTCAAAGAATTTCTAGAAGACACACCTGTTAAAATATCAGTGGCTATAGGGTAAACTAGATCTCCCACCTTGACCTCTGCTAAGTTCAGTGGAGCTGTAGTGGTGATAGCAACAGTGGGAAATCCTAAGAAAAGAGTCCCGTGGAAACAAGACTTGTGAGATCCCTTATCGCCTTATGTTTTAACACAGTACACGAGATAAGTTGGGGCATTTGAGCCAACTCATAAAACTTGTTCATCTGGGGTTGGGGAAGGAGATTCTCAGCAGAGGTCCTCATCTCTGGAACTTGCTTCCTTGCTCAGTCTGACAAGGAGTTGTCTTAGCAGTGTTCACTTTTGCATTGTAGTTGTAGCTGTGTTGGTCTCAGGATATTAGAGAGACAAGATGGGTGAGGTAATATTTTTTTTATTGGACTAACTTCTGTTGGTGAAAGAGACAAGCCCTCTTTGAAGATGAGTTCTGTGAAGCTCAAAAGCTTGTCTCTCTCACCAACAGAAGTTGGTCCAATAAAAGATATTACCGCACCTACTTTGTTGTTGACTTTGACAGTTCATCTAGTGTATAGTTTGTGTCATTAACTTAGACATGACAGTCTGCCCAGTGAATGCCAGAGCTGTGCAATATATAGTGCAAATACATTATTTTGCTGTTGTGAGCAATTACCTGTACTGCCCTGTATGGCAGAACCAGCCCTGCCCTATTTGTTTTGCCAGACAACTCTGAGCCATTCTTTACAAGAAGAAGATATAAACTCAACAGATGGGGACTGGCAACCCTTTTGGGCAACTTTTGCTACTGCCTTTTAATTTTGAGCAGCCAAAATTCTAATGTTTTTATTTTTATTTTCAAAAAATATGTATATCAAGAAAATGTAGCTGTTAGGATCCATAACCCTAAATAACTCTTATGTGGGACCAGCAAAAGATTGCTAAAGAACTGAACTTGTCTTTTTGTTGTTTTGGTTTTTTTCTGTTTTATTTTATATAATGAAGGCATGAAAAAATGGTTTTTAAAATATCTTTTACCTTAGAAATATCAGGAATGTAAGGTCTGCCTTTGTGCCTCACAACATGTTCTCTGTGAGCTCTTAAAAGAGTAAAGTTGCTGAAGCTTTAACAAAAGGACCCTTTGCCCATTAGCAATTTAATCTTATTTAGCTATTGAAGTTAAATACATTTAAACAAAAGAGAGTCTTAAATAACTGGATGAAATATATATTTCACTCTCATTAACACAGCTTCCACCATCTTGGTCCTATAGATGATCTCATTTCACTTATTCTCCAGTTAGTCTTGCAAGGTAGACCACAGTATATTTCTTCTCTCTCTCTATCCTCCTGCATACTAGATACCATAGTATCTGAGTGCTTTGAAATATCTAATGGATTTTATCCTCACAACACCCAGGTCTCTTGAGTCCCAGTTCAATTATTTAACCACAGTACCATCCTCCCTTCCCCTAATGTAAAAATAAACAGGAAAAATCACCCTCCCAACCCAAATCACCTTTTTTCCCCCTTTACAAGTCACCTTTTAAAGAAATGCAGTAATCCTCTACAATGCTCCAGTTTATCTGAGTTTACTACTGTATGTTAAACCATTAATATGGATTCCCGTAGTTTTTTACTAGGGGAAGCTATTCTTCCCCATGTCAAATAGTGTCCCAGTGCCTAGTGACATAGTACATATTTTTTAATCTTTCAGATGTCTGAGGGTAGGGTTCATGTATCTCCCTTTAACTAGAGAAGGAGCCCATTTTTATACCTATGTTAGCAGCACAGTACAGATTGGCAGTTTTGTCAGATCTGCCTGGTAACATGAATTCACAGTTTTCCCTCAAGAAAAGCAGTCAAAGCTGGTAGCATAGGCACCGACTCCGAGGGTGCTCTGGAGCTGGAGCACCCACAGGGAAAGACTTGTGGGTGCTTTGCACCCACTGGCAGCCAAGCTACCCTTACCCCCTACCCCACCTCCTCCCCCTCCCTTGAGCACGCTGTGTCCCTTCTCCTCCGCCTACCTCCCAGGACTTCCTGTCCAGCCGCCACCAACAGCTGTTTGGCAGCATTAGCACACTCTGGGAGCGGGGGGAGGAGCGGGAACATGGCGTGATCGGGGGGGGGGGAGAAAAGGCAGGGCTGGGGCAGGGATTTGGGGAAGGAGTTGGAATGGGGCAGGACTGGATTTTTGTGTCCTAAGAGGCTTGTGCATATGTTGTTTAATTAGCTGGTGGCAGCAGCTGGTTTTCTTTGTCAGCTCTTTCCGGAGGGGTAGGGGGTGAAAGGGCTTGAGGGTACCCCACAGGAAGAAATTCCCAAGTGCGCCTTCCTGGGTTCTCAAAGGGGTTTTTGCACTTGGGTGGTGGCAGCATCTACCCATCCAAGCTCAGGAAAAAGCTGTAACCTTGGGAGTTTAATACAAGACTGGAGTGACCAGTATAATTTTTAGAATCCTTGAGGGCCCCCACCTTCTGCACTCAAAGTGCCAGAGTGGGGAAATCAGCCTTGACACCATGTATTCAAAGCAAACCAGTATTTATTTTTGTATATCAATAGTGCTGTTCTTAAATCTAAAATCCAGACAAACTTGGAGAAGATCATAGAATAACATTATCAAGGGCTGGAGAGACTCACCCTCCTACACCCCAAACTCCTCACCCCCCGCCAGAGTCCTCACCACCTCCCGTACCCCAAGCCCAATTTTGTGTGCATTCATGGCCCGCCATACAATTTCTATTCGCAGATGTGGCCCTCAGGCCAAAAAGTTTGCCCACCCCTGGGCTAACTGTATCTGCCCTACACTCAAACACGAAGCCTACACCATAAAAAGAACTCCACACCTATTTCATTTTACAACCCTTTCACCCTTTTGCCCAGGATGCCATTTAACACTATACATTCACTTACCATTCATTAATCCCACAGATCACACTCATCTCTCACCTAATGTCTGACAATCCCCATGGCAACAAGACCCCTGTACCCTGCTACTGACAATACCTATACACCACAGTTCTGAAATAAGGCATACTGAATCTCTCAGGGTACATATGCACCTCTTTCCTTTGATCATACACATTGATGTTAGCCCCCCAGATTGCCTTTCATAGCTCTGCCAAGATGCTTCACAAATTCCTACACCAGAGGTTCTCAAACTGTGGGTAGGGACCCCAAAGTGGGTTGCAACTGTTTTAATGGGGTTACCAGGGCTGGCATTAGACTTACTGGGCCCAGGGGCAGGGGCTGAAGCCCGAGCCCCACCATCTGACACCAGAGCCAAAGCCCTTGTTGGCAAAGCTCAGGTTAGAGGGCCCCAGCCTGGGGCTGAAGCCCTTGGGCTTCGGCTTTGATCCCCCTGCCCGGGGTGGTGGGACTTGGGCAGGCTCAGGCTTCTGATCCCCCATCCTGGGGTCGTGCAGTAATTTTTGCTGTCAGTAGGGGGTTGCAGTGCAATGAAATTAGAGAACTCCTAACCAGTGTATTCCCCAGGAATTGAAATTAGGGGTGGGTGGGGGGAGGTGTTTGAATTTCCTGGGGGGGGGGGGGGTTGTCAGGGTCAATGAGGGGTGAGACCGTGAGAGTGAAGGTGGGCTGTATGGCACCATAGTAAAAACTGAAAAAATGTTTCATGACCATTTATTAGATTTAAGTCATGTTTCAAAATCACACAAATTAAAGTTGGCTACTCAAGCCTTCTATGAAGCACTATGCCTACATCCTTCTTGGTTTCTTGTTATAATTTTGCACAACTCTGTTAATGAATTTCTTGAATGTAATGCGTTCATCTTCGGTGGCTTCTCGTGTGTCCGGTACTTCCATTCCTTCAATTGATATGCTTATTAGTTCATTCACATGATCAGGCAGAAGGCGACTACTTTCAGAACACAAAATTCTAGTCAATGATGAAAAACAACACTCAATTGTAGCTGTTGTGACTGGAAGTAGCAAGAGATGAATTCCTACTTCTTTCATCCCAGGAGACATAGCACAAAGATCAGGTCGAGCCACTAGTGATGATAAAAAAAGAAGTTGAAGTCAAATCATTCATTCATTCATTGTATGATATTCCACTGTGTTCAAATTCTCTATTCCGTCCTGAGCACACGGCAGCCCCATTGCTGGTAGTGCCTCACTCCACTCAACTTTTGGTGTTTTATGGGACAGGCATCTGTAAGTCTGTGTATGTTTTCAGTTGTCTTAAATACTTCTTGTCCTCTTCACTTAAGGATTATTTTAAGATCATAGAATATCAGGGTTGGAAGGGACCTCAGCCGATCATCTAGTCCAACCCCCTGCTCAAAGCAGGACCAATCCCCAATTTTTGCCCTAGATCCCTAAATGGCCCCCTCAAGGATTGAACTCACAAGCCTGGCTTTAGCAGGCCAATGCTCAAACCCCTGAGCTATCCCTCTATAAATGCCTTCATTAGTCAACTTCTGGACTGAAATTTTTGCTTCTTCCAGTACTTTTTCAATGGATAGCTCTCTGATTGATCCAAATGTAACTTCTATTGCTGGACAAAGATCTACTACTGTTGTAGTAGATGCCTGGATGGCATTGTTTAATGACCCAAGAGGTTTCAACAGTAGACTTACGAGGGAGAGAATGGCAATAGTCTTCTCTGAATGTAGTAGCAAAACTAATCCACCAGCCTCACTACTTAGATCCATTCCATCTTGGTAGATACTTTCCAAAGCCAGCAATAATGGCTGGTGGAATTTTAAGACAACAGCCAAGGATCGCTCATGAGAAAGCCAGCGGGTTTTCCCAGGTTGGACTAATTTGAACTCCAGTCCCAGTGTATCTTCTATATTTTCCAAGATATTCAGTCTTTTTGGACTCTTGCTGAAAAAAGAATATAATGAAGACATTAAATTTATAGCTTTTTTAATGTCTTCAGAAGATTCTGCAGCTCGTACTAGTGCCAGTTGGAGTAGATGGCCTCTGCAGTGTGTATAGGAGAGATCAGAGTTACACTTTTCTCTGAGCAAAGCTTATACTCCACCACATCTTCCAGAAAGTTTGCAGCTCCAACAAATGCACAAGCAGCCATCTGTTTGGGGTCCAACTGACAAGCATTTAACTCTAAGATGTGGGTTGTAACAGATGCAGCCGATGTGTCTTCTATAACTTGAACATCTAGGAATGCATCTACCGGCCTACCCGACATCAAGAAAAGTTATGGTTATGGTAACAGTGTTTTGTTTGTCCAACAGGTTTAAATATATCAGTTCTAAACCAATATAGTTATACCAGCTATACCAAAACTGTGTGTAGGCCAGCCCTAAGACACAATTCCATGCTGCTCAGACTGTATAGGAAATTGCATCTTGATTTTTTTCGGAACACAAGACCTTGGGTGTTGGAGGGCACAGATAAAAATAGACACCACCTATGCATGTGAAAGTCCCTCTCCGCTATGCAAGTAGTTCTGCTTTGCTAACATTTGTATGGTAACAGTGTTTTATTAGTCCAGCTGGTTTAAAAATGGTTCTTGTAATCATAACCACAGTTTAAACACAGTTTGTCTGGGCTGTGTAGTGGAAGCATGATCACTTTAGTACTGTGTTTAACGTTTCTCTAAAATTAGCACACAAAACTACAGATAGTTAAGGCTGTGGCAGGACACAGTCTATCAACCCAAAACCTTAAAAGCACAGAATTTAGGGACTATCTACACTAGAAATGCTAGTGGTGCAGCTGGAGCTACAGTGCTGTAGCACCTCAGTATAGACACTACCTACACCAATGAGAGGGGTTCTCCCGTCAGTGTAGGTAATTCAACTCCCTGAGAGGTGGTAGCTAGGTTAATGGAAAAATTGTTCCATCAACTTAGCATTCACTATCTACACTGGGTCTTAGGTTGGATGAATTATGTCACTCAGGGGTATGGATTTTTCACACCCTGAAAGACATAGTTAGGTGGATCTAATTTTCCAGTGTTTACTCTAAGGTGTTAAAGGGAAAGCTTTGCACGTTCCTTTCCACCTTCACTACTATTACACCGTTGATAATGCTCTCCCAACATTCCCTTTGCTTCCATCTCCAACAGATACCAAAAAGCATTATATACGCCTAACTTCATCAAACTTGTAGTCTAAGGCAAAACCTGAACAGTGACCTCATATGCTTATCAACTGTCACACATTCCATGTCTTTGGGAAGTTATTCTCCATTAACGCTGCTGAGGTCACTATTATTATGGGTTGAGTTAAACCTAGTTATGCATTGGGTTAAACCTCACTGAAACTTGTGTGAATGAGTCATCCACTGAAGACAGCTGTCAGAGACAATTAAGGAACCAGGAGGTTGCCAAAATAGCATGCACTAAACAAGGCTGGCTTGTTTTTATGAAGTTGGGTGGCAGTTTTCATGCAGTCGTGCTCGCAGGTTTTTTCCCCTTGTCTCTGGAGCTGCTCTTTTTTCTTAGACTATGCTCCCTATTAAGGTTTGCCCTAAACAGCAAGTTTGATTAAGCTGATGTTAGTTTCTCATTTGATCTCCACCTCACAGCAAATTTTTCATCAAATTAAAATCTAGAAGTTTAGCTTTGTGCACATATTTTCTACGATGGCTAAAGAGTTATAAAATGTTCTGTAGACAAACACTATCAATTTATATCTAACTTACCAGAAATCCAAACAGGAACTGGCAATGTGGATAAAGGACTGGCAATGTGGATAAATGCAGAGGGTTTTAGATTTCTTGCAAAATGAATAAAAAAGTGGGAAATCCAGTGAAAAATTGCCAGGATTGATTCTTAAACATACTATGCTCTGTATCAATTCATTTTTCATCAAATACCATGAAAAATTCAAAGAGTGTGCAAAGGTTATATTCTGTGTTTTAATTTTTGCCATTTCAGTAACACTTTTAAAACAAGAACTTCACCAGTGGAAGTACCCCAGTGGTAACAATGGAGTCTAGTACACAGAGATTAGGGAAAAAGGACAAAGTATGAACAGAGGAAAACAGGAATGCAGAAAAGAAGGAAAGAAAGGTATGGAAAAACAAACAAAAGAGAGGAATGTGAAGAGACAGGAAAAAGATGGAATAATGAAGAAAAACATGTTTTTCAGGGAATTCAAACATGTTTCTGCTTCTGTTTCCAGCACCATCAAAAAGAAGTGAGTTCTGCCTAACATGTCCACGTAGTCTTAGTTTTTACTCCTATCTTTCAAGGTTTATCCAAGAGTTAAAGGGCCCATCTCATCATGGCAGTTTCATATTTTAGCTTCTCACATCCCCTCACCAAAACCTCCTCCCCCTCCCACAATTAATTCAGTTCAAATTAGAAGAAACAACCAAACTGCATTATTTTTGTAACTCCCAGATTTCTTTCACTTTTAGAACCCAGTAGGCCATTTGTTATCTTGACTGCAGCCTTCCTCTGGAACCAAACTAAATAAAACAATCCTAGGCCAAATTAATCTCTAAAATCAACGGAGCTAAATCAGGGCTGAAGTTGGCCTATGTCTTTAGTCTGTCACTATTTGCTTGGTTCTGAATTAACCTTAATTATTTAGATCTCTGGTCTATTTTTATTGTTTTAATAAGCTGGTGGGCAAGAGCACACTGCTTTTCAGTTCCTGCAAGCCTCTGCTCACTTCTGTCAGGGTCCTGAATATGAGATGCTCAACAGAGGTGCAGTTCTTAATTGATATATCATTAGATAGATAGCCAATATTTTGTTAACCCTTCTTGCTATTAGCTTAGCACCTTATTTCAGATTCAGGTACGCTGCTGTGCTAGGAAGCATGATGAAAACAGAGTTGTTTGTATTCCACCGCAGCCCCAAGATGGCTTCCTGAATGATGCAATGTTTAACCCTTTCTGTTCCAGACTTTATGATGTCAGGCCAGTTTTTTACAGCCCTTTCTCTCTCGCGCGCGCACACACACACAGAGACAGCTTCAAGTTACTGTTGATGTCTGTAAAGGATCTTGCGAAATAAACGCTCTTTTTAAAGTGCCGGCTGGTCCTGACCTTTGTGTGCTAGAACAACACTGGATTTGATGAGTTGGTCAGCGGCAGCTTCACCACCATGCTGCATTGAACAGACGTTGGTCCAATAAGAAGATATGACCTCGTCCCCCCACTCTCTCTCCTCCACCAGCAGTGGGGCCACCATGCTGCATTGAACAGACGTTGGTCCAATAAGAAGATATGACCTCGTCCCCCCACTCTCTCTCCTCCACCAGCAGTGGGGCCAGCCTGGAGGCAGGAAGTTTGGGAGCGGGGAAATATGACAAAGGGAGGACCCAGGGCAGCCGGAAGATTTCACCACCCGCGAGGGCTTCCCCAAGCTGGGAAAGGGGGAGATTTTCGCCTGACTCATGTGCCAACCGTGCGGGGAGTCCCGGGCTCGCTACCGCGCTACGAATACGGAGGCTGCGCTGGCATTGATGGGCCCCCGCCGCGCTCCAGCGGCCTCTCCCAGGCCAGCCCGCAGGCTCCTCCAGGCCCTGGAGTGAGTCACGGTGTCAAAACGCACGTGACCCAGCAACTGCCTCCGGGGGTGGGGTGGGCACTGCACCGGGCCGGCGCTACGGGAGGTGTAAAGAAATGGGGGGACTGGATGTGCCCGTCCCGAGTTGCTCTCTACGGTGCCCAGCGCCTCAGCCCCCCGACTAACAGCCAGGGCCGCGCCGGGCCCGTATCGCGAGACTCAGGGACACCTGGACAAGCCCCGCCTACCCGGTGACCTAGCTTCTCTCTGCCACGAGGGGCCCCACCCCCCCTCGCCTCTCCACCCATGGGAGAGCCGGAGATGGGTCACGTGACGCCAACGTCACGTGCTAGCAGCCTCCATTTTGTGGCGCAGTTACGCAGCGCACTCGCCAGTCGGGAGCTAGACGCCGCAGGGGGAAGATCGGGCGAGTAGTTACTGATCATCCAACCCGCGCACCCGTCTGGCCTTGGCACGCACCGCGAGACCATCGTAGCGCAGGTTGGCGAGGGGCTAGCGGGCCACACGACGGACAGGAGAGAAGGGAGCTGAGACAGGAAATTGCGGGGAACGCGGGACGGGGCTGGGGAAGACCGGGGTGGGGAGGAGGAGCAGCGCTACTCGGGGAGGCGGTCTGTGGGAGTGAAGCGGGGGAAGGGCTTGGTGCTGCTGTCGCTTTCTCGCTGCTACTTAATTCTACCCTTTGGGAGCTGGGCGCTAGTCCCTTGGCGGGGGTGCTTATCGTTGCTGTTCTCGTTGGGCGCGGCTCGGGCGGCCATTTTGTGGAATGGAAATGGCGGCGTCTACTGCCTTCTCCTCTAACTTGGGAACTCTTTGCGCATGTGCGGGTCGCTGAGCTCCGCAGAAAAGTCACCCGAGCGTGGGGCGGGAGCGCTCTTGGCTCGTCCTCATTGGTGCAGGGAGGGGTGGTGTTTGTCTTGGCTCGTTCTCATTGGGGCTGAGCGGGAGGGGCGGGGCTCGCCGGTGCGATGTTCTCGGAGTTTCTAGACTGCGGCACAGGGCTGGCGGCTGCGCAGTGAGGGTGGGGTGGGCGTTGCGGGGCGCGGCGGGGGAGAGGCGGACAAAAGCTGACTGAGGTGGGGGGATGTCGGGCCCCTGATCCCCGTGACCGCTGCAGTTGGCGCCTGGCGCGGCTGATAGTCGCCTTGCTTCTCTTACAGCCGATTTAATCGTGATTAACAACACTATGAGCGGCTGCCGCGTATTCATCGGGAGGCTGAACCCTGCAGCCAGGGAGAAGGATGTGGAGCGATTCTTCAAGGGATACGGACGCATCCGGGATATTGATCTGAAAAGGGGCTTCGGATTTGTGGTAAGAGCTGTTGCCGCAAAACTCAACTCCCTGCAGAGGTTGTTGCCTGCCTTCAGTAGCTTGTAATGTCTCTGAAATATACCTGCTCTACCTCATAGGTGAGAGTGAAATAGGCAGATTCATCCCTTGGGTAAGGACTGACCTAATTTATGTCCGTGTTTGCTTTCCGTTGTAGTGGGATAAAACATGTAATTTTTCTTTTTATTTGGGGTTGGTGGAAGTTGGGGTAACAGGTTTTGCTTGTCTGGGTTGAGAGTTTATGGTGCAATGTAAACATGCTGGAATGCAGCCTGTAAGCTTCCATTTCCATTAAAATTTTTGTCTAAAAATTAAGATTTCTACTAGTAATGCAATGTGTTGTAGTAATTTTTGCTGTAGTTTAAGATTTGTATACATTTTAAAGCACTGCAGTGGTTCAGTGACGATACCATCTATGCCAACTGCAGGGCTTCTGTCAGTGTAGGTAATCCACCTCCCTAAAAGGTGGTAGGTCGGTCAGTCTCCTGTCAACCTAGCCCTCCTTACACTGGGGTTAAACTTGGTTTAACTGCATGCTTAGAGGTATAGATTTTTCACACCTCTCAGTGGTGAAGTTATACCAGCCTAATTTCCTAGTGTAGGCTAAGATTTAGTTTCATAAACTGGAGAGCTGCTTTTAATGCTTTCTTTTATAAGGCGGTAGTAGTCTAATAACTAGGCAGTTTGCATATGTTTTTCTATTAAATGTAGTGTCAAAGATGGTGTTTTCTTATGAATTAGGAATTTGAGGATCCAAGGGATGCAGATGATGCAGTCTATGAACTGGATGGAAAGGAGCTCTGCAGTGAGAGGTAAATGTCTTGATACTAGTAGCATCCAGTATGCTGTTTCATATGCACCTTTAAAACAGTTTGATTTACTCATCTAGCTTTATTTTAAACTTATACTCCATATAAAATGTGAATATCCGTTCTCTTGTATTTCTCATTAACAAAAGCTTGTCACAAAGGGTACACAAGTGAAATGGAGTCCTGTTTTCTTTCAGGGTTACAATTGAACATGCACGGGCCCGTTCCAGAGGTGGCAGAGGCAGAGGGCGATATTCTGATCGCTTTAGTAGCCGCCGTCCACGTAATGACAGGAGGTATGTATAGTTGAGTAGTCTTAATGTATATGATCCAGTTAAGTGTGTCATACTACCATCTGACTGACCCCCCCTCCCCCCCCGTACTTCAATTGATATAGCAGTGCCAAAGGTAGTTACTACATGAAATAGGCATGTTTTGCTTATTTTATGGAAGGTTACTTTGTAACTTATATTTTTAAATCCTGGACCATCTTTTTTCATTGGTCTTGCAAAACTTAGTGAAATTGTAGTGTCCTTAACTTGAAATACTGAAGATGACACTAAATATTTTCCACACAGAAATGCCCCACCTGTACGAACAGAAAACCGTCTGATAGTAGAGAATCTGTCTTCCCGAGTCAGCTGGCAGGTTTGTTAAAACATAATTAACTATTTTGATTTCATTTAATAGGTATGTAATGTAAAATTATATTTTAATAAAAATATTGTAATAAAATATATTTGAAAACATTATTATTAATGTTAGTTTAAATAACATAACTTAGGTATTTTCAAATTAATGTAATATGTAAATACTCAGTGTAAATATTTGAGGAAATTTATAAATATATATATATTTTTTTCTTGTTCAAAATCAATTTTAACCACATATTAAACCCTTTATTTGCCAGCCTATCTGTGTCGTTGGCCTTATGACGAGGAGTGCCTGTGGGTTATCCTAATCGTTGTCTTGGTCACTCTTGGTTGGGCCTGGTTGACTTTTCCAGTCAGCTCCTACAATGTAGCAGTTGGCCACCTCTAGATCTGTGTTTGCTGGTCTAGACGTAATCGATGCACTTCCTTAAAGTGCCAGTTTGCAGCGATCCCAGAGAGTTAACGAGATCTGATCCTTAAGTTGAGAGCTGTTCCTCCTGTAACGCTTCCGAATAAGAGGTCCTGGTCGAAAAGAGTTGAAAGATACGAAATTAGGTGGTCGGTCGTTGGAATCCTGATCGCAGTAAAGTGGTCCTTGGTAACTCCACAAGAGTAGAAAATGTCTGCATCCGTCAGTAGTCTGCTAATAGGGAGGGCTGTGCGATTAAAGGCTTCCATCGACTGGGTAGTGTTCTTCAAATGGGTGGCGAAGAGCCAGTCGGGCATATATCATGACGGTATCTTCGATCGCTTAATGCAGTTTGCTGCTTGGCTAGCCTAGGGAAATTTTAATGAAGGTAAAGTAAACTATATTTTTATGACATATGGGGCACAAAATAACTGGTGTATTGTAAACATTCTGTATGAACATAAGGCTTATTCTATTGCAGTATCTTTTTACACTTCAAAAATATGTAGGTAATATGCACTCAGCTCCATATATAGACTAATACTTTCTTTTAATGTTAAAACTATCAGCATTTTGCTTTAAGCAAATGTGCTATTTTCATTTATTTCGTGCCCTGATGTAGATATTTCAATTTTGATAGAATACAAGTATGGCAAGTGCCATGTTTGTAATTTTATCTAACATCTTCTCTTTCAGTAGTCATGTTCTTACCTTTTTTATATATGTAAACATTAGTTCTGTTTCTTTGCATAACAAATTTGGTCTCGTGTTAGGATCTCAAAGACTTCATGAGACAAGCTGGGGAAGTAACCTTTGCAGATGCACACAGGCCTAAGCTAAATGAAGGGTACGTATCTGGAACTGTTGTCAAACTTGTTGAGCATTCATTACTAGATTCAGATATTTCTAAATACTGAATGTAGTTTCAGCACTCTTAATGGGTGCCCACAGCTTGAGTTGAAACATAGCCCCATCGGATTTTAGCAAAAGCAAATGAGTGCTATTTGAGGGAGAAAAACATTAATTCGCTGTTCAGTTACTGACATGAATGAGCTAGCAATACTTTAAGATCTGTCACATGGGCTAGGTAATTCCTGTCACTTAATGTGAATCATGGTGGTTTTTTTTCTTTTTTAAAGGGTGGTTGAGTTTGCCTCTTACAGTGACTTAAAGAATGCTATTGAAAAACTCTCTGGCAAAGAAATCAATGGAAGGAAAATTAAACTAATTGAAGGCAGCAAAAGACACAGGTATGAGTTTGTTTTTTAAATCTCCAAATGATGCTGAAGTACAGACTGAAATTTCCTTGTGAACACTCCTCTCCTTGACAAAGCATTCAGAATTTTACATTGCTATTAGCTACTACGTATTGACATAGGAGTATAACATCGATTTGTATAACTTCATTAGTAGGTCCAGAAGCCGGTCTCGTTCCCGTAGCAGGAGCTCATCCAGGTCTCGCAGCCGTTCTCGTTCCCGAAGCCGCAAGTCTTACACCAGGTCCAGGAGTAGGAGCCGTAGCAAGTCTCGTTCAGTTAGTAGGTCTCCAATGCCTGAGAAGAGCCAGAAACGAGGTTCTTCTAGTAGATCAAAATCTCCAGCATCTGTGGATCGGCAGAGGTCTCGGTCAAGGTCCAGATCTGTTGACAGTGGAAATTGAACTATATAAGTAACATGCTTGAAGGCCTTTTTTAAAGCATACTTGCTAAAAACTTGTGGTAAGTATGTGGTGGTTTTTCTGTGGGGAAGGGTTTGGATGTGGGGGAGGGACAAAAAACTTTGTAGATATGGACCACAGCGGGGTATGAATTAAATGTATCGTCTTTTGATAATCTTTTTCTTTCTTGCTCACATTTTTGTGGATGTCAAGTGTATAGTTTTGTGTATATGGGCAGAGCTCTTTATAACTAAAGCTAATCTCTATTTTTTTTGTACTCAAAAAAAAAAAAAATCACCTGAACGTTTTAGTTCCCAGTGTATTCAAACATGTGAATGGTAATTCAAGATTAGTTTAATGTCTTCAATTAAACTAGTAGCTTTAGACATTTAAGAGCTCTACATATGTGCTGTACATAAAGCTTTATATCGGAGGGTTTTTTGTGCTTCAGTTGTTTCCGTTGAGTCAGCAAAATAGACTACGCTGTTCAAGATTGATAATAAAACCTTAATTTTAAAAATTGTCTCATTTCATTTAACATGCGTTTTCACTCAACACTCGAAAAGAACCCAAAACATCTATATGCTGTTCAGGTCTCCTAATCACACAACTCATTTAAAAAAATTCACTTTTTGTCTCACAGGCAGCAGCTTGTGGGGGAGATTTTATGTAGCTCCCCTGTGTTGGAGTAGAAGTAGAAACAAGCAGACTCATAATAAGGAAATGGTTTTTGTCCTCTACCTAACACATGATAGTGCATATCTTCAAGGAACAGGTGGTCATGAGTAAGCACAATTAAATGGATCTGAAGAAAGGAAATCACTTGAAGTGTGACTATAACAACATTGGGAATCATTAGAAAAGAGATTAGACACAAAAATTGTCTCTATATAAAATCCAGGGTATATCTACATCAAATACTACGTGCTCATGTGGTCGTCCCAGCTCCAAGATATCTATTCCTATATATCAAAACGGGCAACAAAATGATTAGGGAAGAGCTCAGGGCTTCGGCGCAATTAATAAGACTGGGACTTTTCAGTTGTGACAGATGACTTCAGGGGGATGTGTTAGAGATATATAAAATCATGACTGGTGTAGCAGTTTTCAGACTAACAGCTGTGTTAGTCTGTATTTGCACAAAAGAAAAGAAGTACTTGTGGCACCTTAAAGACTAACCAATTTATTTGAGCATAAGCCTTTGTGAGCTACAGCTGTATTGGTTAGTCTCTAAGGTGCTACAAGTACTCCTTTGGTGGAGCAGTGTTGTTCCTCATAACACAACTCTTAGGACTCACTAAATGAATAGGCAGCAGATTTAAAATAAGGAAGTATTTCTTCATACAACACATGGTGTGGAACTCTGCCAGAAAATGTTTTGAAGGCCAAGACTGACAGGGCTCACAAAAAAACAAGATCAGTTCCTTTAGGATAGGTCCATGGATAGCTATTAACTGGGCTGGGCAGGGATTGTAGCCTCTGCCAGAAGCTGGGAATGGGCAATTGGGTGGATCACTTGATTACCTGTGAGGAACCGGGCATTTGGTCTGACCAGTATGGCTGTTCTTAAAGCCACCTTGCCTCTCTTTAATGTCATGTGGTGTCTACCCACAGTAGTATATATGGAACCTAATCACGAAAAGCAGTCTGCCTTTTTATGTTCAGAGAGGTTTGGTCATTGAGAAATTAGTGATAAAAGTCGGGGGTGTAAAATGGACTCTTCCTTCTTTCAATCTGCAAAGATGCTAACAGGAAGAGGCCATTAAGAGTGCAAGCTTGAACTTGATTACAGGGAAACACTTAAAATGTGGGTACTTGTAGTAATTTGTATTATTTACATGCCCCAGTACTTAAAAAGCTGCTAGGAAGCAAGAGTGGTTCTTGAGGTAGTCGGGGGCCTTGTTTTAGGATAGGGAGGTGGAGCTCACTGAGGACGTGAGTGGTATTGATAAGAAACTGGGAGCCTTTTCCAGAGCACTGTAGATTTCATAAAACCTGAGATTGTTAGCTGACATGAAATCTCTGGGTAATATTTCATTGTGGGTTAGGGTCTCAGCAGTAGCAGAGCACTTTGGCATGGCCTAGAAAGCTGTAGTAACTTGACAACTTGCCAAGTAGGCTGAAGTCTGCTTTAAACTCAAGTGATTTGTGAATTTTTGTTTTCTAACAATTATCAGAGTGCCCAATACTAGAAATAATGGCAGGTAGTTATGGATCATCTCTTGGGGTGCAGTCATAACAATATAGGACGTTCTGGGGAAATAATGTTCTGGTAAATGGTTGTATGCAACTTGTCCTAACTGCTCAATTGCATGTAATAGAGGCTATGTACTGCTAACCAGTTCCAGTTGTAGGTTCTGGATCAGAGTTCTGTCATTGCTACCATTGCTATTTTATGTGTCCACAGGTCAGTGACCGTTCTTGGTGGTTACAGATTTGTTGCAGTTAAGATTCTGGTCTGTGCAAAAGCAGGACTTGCCTTATGCTTTAAAACAAGTGATACCTTAAGTACGCTTCGTTCTTGTTGCAAGGAGTTGGATATTTGGCACTGAAAATGCCCTGTCCCTTTAAATTATCAATTTTGGTTGGCTTTGTGTTTGGGGTACAAGTGGTGGGCATGTGCATCTTCTTCCAAGGATAGTATTACCAATTCACAATGTTATTTCAAGTCTTGCAATATATTGTTGGCTTTGGAGTCACTTGGCAGGTAAGTCTAATCTTTATTAAGGCAAACGCTCAGCAAGTAGCAGTCAATTACAAATGAGAAGCTCAGTCAGATGACCTGATCGGTTGCTTCCAGCACTAGACTATACAGCTTTAAACTGCCTTTTGTTACATAAGCTTGTTACCTCTTATGCATATGTATTAGTTTCTCATTTCCATGTTAACTTTCTTCCTCTCGGTACAGGTTTAGTGTTAGTTCAAACTGGCCTTCTAGCTTTTTAGTCACTTTTTTCTTGGTCTTGCAAACATGATTACACTGCAATTTTTTACACTTACACATACATAGTTCTACTTATGCTTACACTGTTATGTTAACAGAACAGACTCTTAAAATCCACAGCAGGCTTCTGTCAGGCCTCATTATGCCTCTGCTCCTAAAGTATATGTAGTGTTTTATAAAGGTTTTCCTGACTGATTCTGTTTTTGCTTCTATGAAGCTTATTTCTTCACTAATATGGCCGCTGCTAATGTGAGTGGTGCTAAAGACCCAGCTGGTCACAGTCAGGCTGCTACCAGTGAAGACAGGAAACACTTTCCAAGGGGCTGAAATCAGTCTGCCCTCAAGGAAGATGGTGGCCCACCATGAGACGTCATGTAGGAGCTAAGTAGAGGCCGGGACAATGTAGAGGGGATGGTGCTGCTGAAAAACAGGTTTGAAAAACGACCATATTTTAAGGCAATCCCACGCTTTGTGGGAGGGGTTTTGAACGGTGGGGGTTGGCAGACTTACAGTGAAATCTTTAAACTCTGCATCTGAGGATATTCTAGCTATTAAAGGAACATTACCCATATGCAATTGCTGCATTTTGGAAAGCTTTATCCAGCAGTGTAAGGGATAAAGGTCTTTGGAATGCAGGTGAGACAGCCATTGAATAAATGGTCAGTGGCTAAAGATACTTGTTTCTAAAGAGCTTTACGACCATGATGGGTACCAGCATAATGGAAATCAGTGGAAAGGCTCTGATTCACTTCAATGGGGTCTGAATCGCACTAAGTGTGCAAAAAGAGTTCTCATCTTTGCATCACCAATGACTTGGCCTCTTGCCAGGAGCCTAAGGCCTACATCTAATTTACATAATGTAGCAAAACTACAGCAATTGTAAGTCAAAAGTTTGTGGCTTTATTGAATAGTGGTTTTTTAATATGCTCAATGTTCTTAAATTATTTTACTCTGAGGTACGGTGAACCACTGGTGTGAGCACAGAACTGGGAGCCTGGAGCTTCTGAGTTCTAATGCTGCTTTGTTACTGACTGGCCTTGTGGCTTAGTTAATGCTTATATGATGCTTTCAGAGTGTTCAGTATTATTCCTTCAGATGTTGGGAGTGTTTCTATAAAGCACGGCGCTTCAGGACAGGTGGTCTTGTCCTTGGGCAGACCAGTCCAGCGGTTAGGGTACTAGCTTGGGATGAGGCAGACCCAGGTTCAGTTTCTTACTCTGTGATTTTGGGCAAGTCAGAGCCTCTGTGTGCCTCGGTTCTCCATTTATAAGATGTGGATAATAGCTCTTAAGTGTATGAGGCAGTCAGACACTAGGGTCAGCCTTATAAGTATCTTAGAAACCTCCCCATGTTAAATTATAGACAAGCTAAGGTTGGCTGCAGGTCATGTTTTGGGGCTTTAAGGCCTATGGTTTGGGGACTTTAGATGTACAAAACTGCTGGGGTAAAGGGGAGTGCCTGTGATTGATAGTAAAGGACTCCTAAACTGTACATGTGGTCACTTTTCATTTGTCAATCCTGTTATGAGAAAATTCCAGGATACCTTTTAGATTCTAATGAGAGAAATTAGCTTGAACTTCTGAAAGGCTTTTGCCTCCCCCTCTAACACTTGCCAGCAAAACTATGTGCCCAGAAAAACAACTCAAAAGAATGGGTCTGGCTTCATTAATGGTAGCAATCAATAATAAGCTGTCATGCTGTTAGTTCCAAGGTGTCTGGCACAGAGCTCGTGGGAAACTGGGAGAGAGCTCACTGGGATGGACTGCACCATTTCATCATCAGCCAAAATATGAATGTTTTGTAGATGACCAAAAATTGGTTAGTCCAATGAGTCTCAAACTATAGCCTGTGGTGCTTGGTGCCCTTTCTGGAGAACGTCCAGTGGGGGTAGAAGTGGGCCTGTGAGAAGATCTGCTCACTCCTTTGTTTTAAAATCAACATTTCATGCAAAACTGCTGGAGTTCAGCAAACCAGGTGCAGAAGATATAACCTGGACCATTGGTGGGTGTATCTGAGGTGTGGAGCTTCTGTAGTATCCCCCTATTTTGCTGGTGTTTCTTAGGGGCCTGGGTGGCTTTGTTTCTTGTGCAAGATCATCCACAGCTGTGTAGATCATCTTTGCTGTATCTAAAGAAGAGGTGGGGAGAAAAAAAAAAGTCCATATGAGACCACATTGTCCCTAACCCATATCACTGGAAGGTGATGCTGCAGGAAAGATGAATGGTTGCTGTAATGCAGGGATTCCTATATTGCACTGAGCAATGCCTGGTCTTCTTTAGATCTCAAAGAAGCTCAAGGGACAGAGCTGTGCAAAATAAAAGTGGCAACCCTCTGCTCCTACCCCGTCCCCCAAACAAATAAAAAAACCTGCAGCTATTTTGTTTCAAGTCACTTCATGAACCAGACTTTGATTTGCATGGAATTTTTAGAAAAGAGTCCATTTAACAGTAAGTGGAAAATGTCACCTTTTTGTATGTTTCCAGTGCACACTGCTTTTCCATTTAAAAGAAAGTGTCTATTAGCAAACTAGCTGCATTTACAAAATATGACAAACCACCACTACTGCACTCCGTGGTGCAAATCAACCTCTGCTCTGCCTACCAAAGTAGATGGAGCCAGCTGTCTAGGGCAGGGGCAGGCCTAAGATGGCTGCTAGATGTTCTGCTTGAGTGGCTCTCCCAAGCAGCCCCTGCCTGTAAGGCTCAATGGGGTTTGAAGCTGTTCCCCAGCTGAAGCCCAGAGAGAGAGCTGCAGTAGTACTGGACTGGAACAGCTGTCCTGGTTGCTATGAAATTGGCCTACCCTTTTTTTTTTGTTTTTAAACCACAAAGGCAGCTGCCGAATTTGCTTATACATCCAACCAGTCTCCCCTCTCAGCTGCAATACTTGTTTGCAACCTCACCAAAAAGCAATCCACTCATTTGGATTAAGCATTCTTCACTTTCTATCCTAAACTATTGTATATTGGTCCAGAAGAGCAGCATCTGGCAGAGGTAAATGAACTCATGTTCATTAAGAATTTCAATGACACAATCAACTCATTTGTAGGCCACTGTGATAGGGTGAAACTGTCCCATCCTGTGCTAGAAAGGGTTAAAGGCCAGTCTTGGGCTCAGGTATCCACATTTGCTGCACTTATGAAACTGAACTATTTGAGAGATGCGGAGCTACGTGTGATGGCTGGCAATTTACAGCACTGGTAGAGCCTGTCTGGGCAGATGATACCTTTGTTTTGTATCGTTTGAAACTTTGTTTTTGAACAATCCCTTTTCCTGGAAGAGGCTGGATGCTTTGAGGTCACTTGGCTGGAGGGCTGGCTGATACTATGGTTGGATAGGCCATAATATGTATATGAGAAACTGAGGCAGAGCAGTCCTAGGACCATGTTGTACCACAAAGGGGTGCACGCAAGAGTTGCACCCTGTCACAGTGACCTGACAGTTGTCAGATGGTAATGAGTATGATGTTACTGGCCAGGGCTGGGTAACAAAATATGAAGGTGAAAATCTTCTTATCCTACCCTACAGAGCTTCCAGTCTTGGAGCCTCTAATTTCTATGCAGAAATTTCACACAGGAAATGTCTAGTGGGCTGCTCCCAGCATTTACCTTCTAATGACATGACTTATGTGACTTGCATATGGGGGGGGCTCGTTCCTTTCCCACCCGTCACTCAACAAGGTGTAGTGATACTCAAGATGTGTCAGGCAGCTGTCTACCTCATATTCCTCTCTGTTTCAAATGGACACGATATTCTTCTCCTTAGAGTTGTACAATCCCTGCTTTTGGGGTGTGCCTGCACACTGAAGCACAGGACCCTCTGGAAAGCTGTGACCGTTGGTGGGTTGCATAGTCAGTATCTCACACTACTAAACTTTTGATATCAGAAGTTGTGGCCCCTAGTATCCTCAATTCCCTATGCAGTATTATATGGAGAGGCTATTTTTCACTTCTAGCTGCTGAGTTTTGTTTTGCTGTGTCCTGTTACGCAGCAACTGAGTTCCACCCCAGAGATAGCAGCAGGTCCGTGATACCAGGATATGCACTACTTTGAGATGAAAAGCATGTAGGAACAGGAGAGAGGTTTTGGTTATACTACACTTGCCGTTTGGTTTCTTTAGTTTTTCATGAACCCTGAAGGCCAGTATCAGGAGAAAGCCCTCTCCAAGCTGAAATACCATGTACAGGAAAGGGAAGAAGAAAAGGGGTCCAATGACATCAGGGGCAAAGGCCACTTTGAGGATGGTAGAGCAGAGCTGCACATTCTGGCAACCAGTCTCCATGCAGACTGTCCGCCTGCACCTGTACAGGAAGGAGTTAAACACAGGCATGAATTGCAAAACGGTTACATTTCTATACAGCTTAAAGTAGACATGGTGCCCAGATGTTTATGCATTTGACTGTGGTAAAAGAAACTGCAGTAGGAGCAGTGCTGAGAATTCAAATGAGATGCTTTGCCCAGCACTCCTTTGGGAGTGTGCAAGGGTAGGTAGTGACAGATGGTGTGCATGGGTGGAAATCCTGCCTAGTAATGCTTGGCGGTCATGAATCTGAGGTTCTCCAGGAGCTGCTGCCTCCACAAGAGGAAAAAAAATCTGGTTCAAAAGTGAGGAGAGGGAGAGAGCACCACCCGGGAAAGGTAAGGGGAGGTTTGTGTGTGTTAGGAGGGTTATCTTGGCTGGGTTACCCATAGGCTCAAGGCATGATAAGGGATGATTCAGAGTTGTGTAGTGGGGTCCTCGCTTTGAGTCTGTGTTGGGGTCTTCAGCTGAATATTGTTATGCCCTTTGTGATGTGAAGCAGTTATCAAAATAGGAATAATTGTTTGAGTTTTGGCAGTCCTATCAGCACTCACTCACCCTTGTCTCCATCACTTTCTACTTGGGAGTTATCCTGACTTTTCTCTTTCATATTTCATTGTCCGTAACTGAGAATTCTGAAATGAACAGGTCTGTAGTGACCAAAAGTCAAACCATCCATCAGCTTGTTCAGAGGCCTGTGTGAAATAACTTGGTGGGTCTTCAGGTCCATTTGACAGAATTGCCTCTGCCATTGGTTCCACTTTTGGCAGACCCAAGATGGCCAAAGAATGAATTGGTCCATGAGACTCTACTCATCTCTCTTCCCCGTAAGGATTGAGGCATGTAGGCTAGGGACAATACAGAGGCAATGCTCCCTCTAATTTTTTACATCCATGTGTAGAATTAATTTTGTCATGTGCACCAATATGGAGGTGATGTGGGGCCGAGGGGTTTGGAGTGTGTGAGGGTCTCAGGGCTGGTGCAGGGGGGTGAGGGCTCTGGCTGGGGGTGCAGGCTCTCGAGTGGGGCTGAGGATGGGGGGTTTGGGGTGCAGGCTGCGGGAAGAGAGGACTTCCCCCAGCCCTCTCTCACTGCAGCAGCTCTAGGACCAGGGGAGAGGCACCTCTTCCCGCCTGCGTGACCCTTGATAGCCTGCTGCGCAGCCATGCAGCTTACAGGGAACTTGGTACAGAGGGAACTTGCAGTGTCACAGCCTGTATTCATGTGTATCCTGTAGTTAAATAACAAGTGTCAATATCAGGGTTGCTGCTGGCACCATTTTATCACTACAAAATCATATTTTTGGGGGGTGAGGGTGGGATCTGTGTAGACAACTTCTCTCGTCTGTGCTCAGACTTCAGCATCAGCACTGGGAGATCATGTTCAAAGTTCAGTTGTCAGAGTGCGTCAGAGCCTCCATGCTGAAAGCAACTCATTCAGCACCTCCCAAGATTTCAGTGTCATTCTTTTGTACTCCATCCCCTTTCTTAGAACTCCTAGGTAAAAAGGGAGTGAGTGTGATAAGGGATTGTGATGGGGTGTACTTGCCCCACACTGGACAAGAAGGGGTTAACCCCACACTCTGGACAGAGGAAACCATGCCCCCTCGCCCTGTTAGACATGCTCCAACAGCTGCTGCAGTATTAAGTGGAGCAGCCCAGCTCATTCTAGGCTGACTGCCTGAAAGGAAGGACGCACCTCGCAGGCTCCAGCCCGGGAGCAGCTAGAACCCCAGACGGCGGGAGCCAGAGGCACTGAGATCCAGGCAGATGCCTGGATACCTGTGGACACCTAAGGGAGGCCAGAGCTGTCAGGAACAGTGCACACTGAGGAACCGGGAGACCCCAAAGACGTCTAGACCACAGCATCAGGGAATATGGTAGGAAGTAGCCATAGGGAACTAGACAGTGGACTGGTTATCAAACTGGATCTTGAACCAGTGTGTTTTGGTCAGATCCCTGCTGACTCGGTGGCAATCACACTCGCCACTGTCAGGGCCCTGGGCTGGGACCCAGTGGAGCCTGGAGGTCCCAGGTCCCTCTATCCTGGCTGCCACCTACCCAACTGGTGGCTGCCTATTCCCCTACCTGGCCACTAGACCACTCAGCCCTGCTGAGGAGGGCAGCTACATTGATTCTGGCCATCAGGCCACACGACTCCACTGGGGAGGGGGTTCCGTTGACTCTGGCCCTTAGAACATATCACCCTAAAGGCAAGGGCAACCATACTGACTCGGCTCCCCTGACAGCAAAGGTGACCATATTGACTCTGGCCATTAGGCCGTGCTGCCCTGACATCGACAACTATATTGACTCCACTACTAAGCTGTACTGCCCTGATGACAAGCATAAGCGTACTGACTCTGGCCATTGGGCCATACTGCCCTGAGGCTAAGGGCAGGCAGGCAGACAGACTCGCCCCTCCCCCCAAAGGAGGACGGTGGTGTAATTGCCCCTCTACATGGATGTAGAAAGACCTACCTGTCATTGAGCTTGAAAAATGAAGATAGCATGTAGCCAAGCAGGAAACCAATAAAAGGCATCAAGGCAGATGTTCCCAGTAGGGGTGGCGAGAAGATGATCAAAATACTGTTTCCAACACTTGTCACAAACAGAGCGATTATTGGAACAGATGATACAAGCAGCACAATCATCCCTGCCTGAAATAAAAGTGGATCAGGAGTTGGGAAAGACAAGACAAAAAGTTTGTAAATTGTTTCGAGGCCCATAGGGAAAGGAGATTACCACTTCTTACCTTGATGATGAGGCGAGCATACTGTGGCTTCTTCTCATTCAGGAAGATGCCAATGGTGCAGGGAATGAGCATCATGGCCAAAGAGATGACTATTCCCTTGTAAGGCACTTTGCCCTCTAGGTTGCCCTGGTACAGCCCTCTTGAGTAAAGATACAGGAGAAGAGGCATCAGCCCAAGTGCCAGGAGCGTTGAGCATGTGGTCATCACAATGCTGAGATGAAGGGAAAATGTAATAGCAGTAGAATGAAATTATTTGTTGGAATATTCTTCTCTTTATCTAACTTGGACACTTACGTCCATCTACAATTTCAGCTCACTTTTCCCATTTCTCCCCTTTCCCGCACAGAGGTTTCAGCATTACCAGGTGATGAAAGGATCTACGGCAATGGAAGTAAGGGAAGATTGAGTAGTTTAAAGGACAGTTCTATTTTAGGCTCAAAAAGTAGTCCTAAGTATGCATCTTGGTTCATAGAAATTGCCATACTGCATCATAGTCCAGTATCCTATCTCCAGCAGTGACTGGTACCAGTTGCTTTAAAGGAAAGTACAAGAAACTGCACAATAGGCAGTTATGGAATAACCTGCCCATAGGGAAAATTTCTTCTCAACTCCCATTAATTAGAAATTTGGCTCTCCCCTGAGACATAAGGGTTTATATCTTCAAAGGTCTTGGGTTGGTTTGTTTCTAAATACTTACTGTTATAACTCTGGATGTTCTTGTTATACATGTACATAAAGTACAAAAGTTCAGCTGTCTTTCCCTTGCTGTTGTTTTCACTCTTATCTTGGACAAGGGCCACGGGACTGAGGCAATGCTTGTCTCATTTTTTGGGGTGGGGGGCTTACCTTTTTCTATTTGGGGTAGCCCCTTAAGACTTGCTTGATTTACATGGAATGGAAAGAGGTCTCTTAAGTACTAATAACTGGAATGGTGAAGGGAATGTAGGCATTGCCACGCTGGAACAAAACAATGGTCCGTTTACGCCAGTATTCTGCCCTCAACGGTGGCTAATGTTGGGCACTTCAAAAAAAGGTATAAAACTCCATTATGCATCTAATGATGCAACAGTAATGCTGCAGTACTAAATTGTATAGTGCAGGAGCCCCCCAGAAATTCCCTCAAGTTGGTAATTCTATCACGTGAGAGAATCTCCAAAATCCATCTCATGTGATGTCACCATAAGATAAAGCAGCCATTTTCGAAACCTAACTAACATTTTACTGGTAAATTTTATCTAATTGAAAATCGGTGCAACAGTAATTGTGAGACTTCACACATTTAGTAATAAATACACACATTGTTCTAATATAAACGTGTAGCTCAGCTCCTATATCAAACTTTAAGTAGCAATACACAGGCAAAGCACACATGTAATAAGTCAAAGAGGCCATCGGCAGAACATGTAAAATACTCCTTTTATAAAACATATGCTCTGCAAAATTCAAATAAAGCATTTAAGATGCTTGAAGAATATTTTACATGGGTCTTGAATTTTACTCAGATTTCACATCCACTGATTAAATTGATCACATAACCTTTTAGAAGAAAGGTAAATTGGATCTACTGCATAAGATTTTTATGATGGTAGCTGGGAAAGAAGTGTGATTCTCAACTTGAAAACTTGGTGTGTTTTAAGGGGATTCAGATTATAATGATATCTTAAAAATAAACAAAAGAGCTGAGGAGAGAAGTGCCATCTACTGCATCTCCTGTCCTTAATTTGTAGTATTTTCCTGCTTATTCTATGAAGCGTTTCACTGTTTTCATAAGACCCTTACAGGATACCTTACTGTGACTTGCCTCCTGAATTTCTGACCCTCTCCTACTATTGCTTCTAAATCATCTCCTTAGGAAAAGTAGCATGAAATGTTAAATCAGTATTTTGCTGCTTGGTGGGCTTGCATGGTCGTCATATGGGAAATCTATGCTGAGTGGATTCTAAATCACAGGGTGCACAAAAAGGTCCGCTAGAAAGTCTTGTCATTTTGATGAATTCATTGATCAAGATGCACTATGGGACACTTTGTTTAATGGCAGAGAGCTAACGGGGAGAAATGCCACTTTTCCTTAGTTAATTTCAGCATTTGCTCATAAACCTCTGTGGCATGTGAATTTATGCTGAATTGACTGAATTTTCAAAAGGGTCTCAGCCATGGCCATGAATCACCATTGTGTTACTTCAGATTCAAGTTGGTGTAACTCTACTTGAACTAAATGAATGGAGTTACACCACTATAAAAGGGAAGTTAATGAAATGCGGGATCAAGCCCCAAATCTTTATATCTGAACCTACAGTTTTGCCCATGGACAAACTTGCAGTTTTTGAGCACATACAGCTTTTGCTTTTCTGCATTCACAAATTACATGACTGGGCACCAAATGCAAACAAGGTTGTCAAATATGCAGCCCAGTCTTGAAAATGTGGTCTCTGTGTCACAGGACCAAACGCAAGGATCCATAGTGCCATGCAATAAAAAGAAAATCAACCACCACCACAACAAAAAGCACTATTAAAACAACCAACTAAATAATCAAAAGTCCCACGGTAGAACCTTATTTTATGTCAACAAGTTGAATTTGTTAATGAAAGGATGAGAAGACAGGGACCACTCCTATTGGGCTTTAATTCATCATTATATTTTCATCACGTTTAGATGGACCTTTGTCTCCGCAATCTATTCATTTAACTACCCAGTCAATTTGTAATTGGGCACAACATCTGCCATTTGATTGAATCCTGGGTTGAAGAGGTTTAAACTCACATCAAGTTCTTTGAAATGTCGCTTGTAGTCCAATACTGTGCTGAGTAACAAGACTGATGAGTATGCCACAGGTAAGCTATTAAAATCAATTCTTCTTATGGCACCAACAAAAGTACACAGCTTGTCTTCCTCTTTTGAGTGTTTCTTTCCTCCTAAAGCTATAATCTGTGTAGGTTTCTAATTCCTATGTCCTAACTGCAAGACTGGTAGAAACTCCCCTATTTCTCTGCCTACACTCACATTGCTCCTTACCTTCCGTGCTGGCTTGATCCTACGTCCTGGGTTCCTGGGAGGGTGTTACGTCCTCTGCCTACTTCACTCCTCCCTGCTGGCTGGCTCTCAACTTTCTGCTGGTTCCCAGAGCAGCACCACGACTAGCTGCTGTGGGTTCTGGCAGGAGGGCTCAGCAGGCAGAACAGGACCCAGCTGCTGGCTGGGCTCCCTTCCACCCTACTCTGCTCCTTACTCTCCCTTCTCCCTGCTGGTTTGGGGCTTCCCCAGTGCCAAGAGGAGCTGCTGTGGATTCTGGCAGGAGAGCCCAACCCAGGCATCCGTCACGCTCCCAGCCACATGAGGTAGTTTACTGGTGCACGTGTGGGGAACGTGAGGGAACACTGGTGGCTGGGCTAAATTTGAGTGGTGTTGCAACCTGGTACGTCAGGTCACACCACCACTGAAATTTGGCTTGGCTACTGCTCTGGCTGGCATTATGGAGGGGTAGCCAGGTCAAATCTTAGTGGTGGTGTGACCCCAAGTGCTGGAGTGCAGCTCTATTCTAGATTTTAGGTGCCAGAGCGCTGCTCCGGACCAATAGTGACTAAGCAGCATTTAGCACCAAGCTAATGAGTACTCAAAAAATACTTTGGGTACAATACCAAATTTATTCCTGCCCGAAGCATTAGAATTGAGAGAACTAAGTTAGACTGTAGACCAGTCTCCTAACTGAAATGGCCTGGCCAGTGACAATGGTGAGGTACCGAGCTCTCCTTACCTCAGGTTCATATCTCCTTTTGCTGCCAGACTAAAAATGTTTGAGAGGTTTCCACCTGGACAGCAGCCACAGATGAGCACAGCCAGAGACTCAATAGGGCCCAAATGGAAAAGCTTTCCCAGGGCAAACGCTGTCAGAGGCATTATGCCATACTGAGCTACCACAGCAATGGCCACCCCTTTAGGTTTCCAGAAGTGAGTCTTGATCTTGGAGAGCTGCATGGTGCACCCCAGTGACACCATGACAATGCCCAGGACAGCAATGAGGATTCCATTCAGCGCTTGGTCAGTGGCCCGTTGGTGAAACGTGAAAGGCAGTGTAAAGTTGGGCAGGGAGGCATTCTCGGTGTGCTCTGGGTTCCAGGATTTGGGGCTCCCATAGGCTCCTCTGGTGGTGTTCATTGTCACTATGAGCTTAGCCATCCCTTCTTCCTGATGTGGTTGGCAAAGTGAAGAAGGAAGCTAGTTCAAAAGCCTGAAACCATACAAATCCAGTGCACATAAACATCACATCCAACACTCCCCCTTCCTGCAGTCAGTACCTTCTCTTCTCCAGGCCTGAGCTCTTATCATCTAGTACTGAGTGCAGCTGAAGGCTATTTTGTTAGGGATCATATTTTTAATAGTTTGCACCTTTCTGCCCTAGGAATTCAAAGCACTCTCCTAATTTTTAGGACTAGAATAACCCCTCTAATAGCCACATTGACGGCTGACTAATATTTCATGCATGACAAAGTTTCAGCCTCTGTCTCATGGCTATTCATTGAGAGCCATGAAACAGAGCCCATTGATTTCCAGAATAAAAACCTTCCACTATTTACTAGCTTTCCAAGATTTCCAACTGAATGCCTTGACTCCTCTCTAGCTTCCTTAGCCATTCCCACACAATGAGAATAAGGGCACAGTCAATGAAAATGAAAGGCAGCTAATATAAAGCTGATAAAATGAAATAGCCTGTAGAACTCATTGCCACAAGATGCTACTGAGGCCAAGAGCTTAGCAGGATGCAAAATAGTTAGGCATTTATATACCCAGTGAGAACATCCCCAGTTATACTAGAAAGAATTCATTTTTTCCTCTAAGGCTACATCTACGCTATGAGCTAGAGGAGCGATTTCTCCGCTTGCGTACACATGCTAGCTCTCGCTGACCTAGCCTGAGTATAAACAGCAGCGTAACTGCGGTCGCATAGGCACAGCTTAGCCATGCCCTGTGCATTCCCACAGGGGCCTGGCATCTGTGTACTCGGCATGGCTAAGCTGCTGCTACCCTCACTACAGTGGCTACAGTGGCTACACTGCTGTTTATACTCACACGAGCTCGCCTCAATCTAGCTAGAATATGTGTACATGAGCAGGGGACTCATACCCCCTACCTCACAGTATAGGTGAAGCCTAAGAAGGGTTATAAACCCTCATGCTTCAGGGCTAAGCCCACCTCTGACTCATGGCAGTTTGGAAGAAGCTTTTCCTGTGGACAGGTTATTCCAGTACAGGCTGTCTTGTGTCTTACTTTGAAGCACCTGTTGCTGATCGCAGGATACTGGACTAGATAGACTCTGATCTGGTAGGGCAATTCCTCTGTTACATTTACAACCATGAATTAATTAAGCTTCACAATGTTCCAAAGTAGCATTCCCATCTTAGAGATGGGGAAACAGGCACAGAGGCTACCTAATTCATCCAAAGACACACACTGAGTCAGTGGCAGAGGAGGGAAAACCTCCAGGTTTCTTGGCCTTGTTAAAGCATGGGACAGACAGCCATGTTTCCTGCCATACCTGCAGCTACCAGCAGCACACATCAATGGGAGCTGCACAGGTGGACATAAGGAGGAAGTGGGGCCAGCATGGTGTCCTTTAAAGAAACTATTTCGCAAATTGAAATGACTCCTCTGATCCCCCAGTAGGTCCTTGCCATACTAACCATGTAGCAGGAGGAAACATTTCATTCTGTATGCCAGACTTGGGAACCGCATTTACTGGTGCCCAACCTTCTTCTTTGCTCCCTGTTCTCCGAGCCCCTATACACATACACAAATAAATATGGAGCAAGCCATCTGGAGTTTCCCATTAGGATCAGACCTGGTGTCTGCAAAAACACACCATCCCTAGACACGTTAAAGTACAGAGTGGAAATTAATTAATTTACCGTTAGCCCTTAGACTGCTGCTTCAGAAGGTGGATATTGTCTTTGCACTTTTCAAAGGGTTTACATGCTACTTGATGATCCATTCCTGGCGGAGTTCTCCAAGCAATAAAACTCAGAAGGCCCTTTAGCCATCATGATTCAAGAAAATCCCTTCCCCATCTGACAAAGCCTGGTCCTGTGCTTGCAGAGTATGATAGTATCTCCTAGAAGACCAAAACTGGAATCTTCTGGATGGCGATGTGTCCAGAGGCAGCCTGTGCAGGTTGGATCTTTTTCTCCTGGGCACAGGGTTGGGGAATGGATTTTCACTGCACTGCTTTCTCTGTGAACCCTCCTTCCCTCTTGCTGGAGAAGCCCTAATTTGTCAGCTGCAGTAATTTATTCATTGCTTCTATTCATAGCGGAGCTCACCAGTGAGCAACTTTCCAGCCCAATTGCTCTGGAGACATGATTGAAAGCTGGAAGGAATGTAGGAGCCTTTCTTTCCTGTTTCTCTCTCTAGTGTTGATTTGAAAATGCTTCTAATAGGCAGGACGTCACAAGGGAAGGAAGGAGTAACTGGAGCAGCAACAGCTGTTGAGTGTTGTGTAGGCAGCCCCAATCAGTTTAGGGGAAGGAGGGCGCCATAGGTAAGGTAGAATTTAATGAGAATCTTCACTAATGGTTGGCACAGGGACACCTGGGTTCTTTCCCTGCCTTGTCCACTGACTTGCAATGTGGCCTCAAGAAAGTTATTTGATCTTTTTGTTGCATCACCTCTCACGCTCATGGATAATCCCCATCCTGGTAAAATGGAGATAATACTATGTGCCTTGCAGAAGGCATTGCGAAGCTTCATTTTTAAGAAGTGCTTTGAGACCTGCAGGTGAATGGTGTGATATAATATGAAGGTAGATCTTTGTCTCCAAGGCCATAGCTCAGCAAGAAGAAAAAGGTGCTATGCAAAGTTGGGCATTTTTGGATGCATTTTTATTTGGGGGCAGGGAGGGCATGGTTTGAAGGGCTGTATGAGTAATAAATAAACACAATCAAGGTAGCACATGTACAAGGGCATTGGAAATCTATAGGGAATTTTGGGGTAAAATCGACAGCAATTTCTCTTCCCTTCCCCCACTTCCTTTTCTCCAAATATCCACAGAAGTTCTGGGTAGTTGTTTGCTTTCTATTGTATTTGTCTTGGCTTGTCTATGTTAATAGTGAATAATGTCAGAAGATGCAAGGTGGGTCAATCAAAAGCAATTGTTCTCTTATTCAGTGTCACTGTGTTGGCTGCCCAAAGAATATCCCAAGCGCCGCTGCAGGAGTTAAACATTTAAAAATTGACAACACTGTAAATAGTTCTCTCCATCTTTAGGAGTGTAGCAACTGTCTGAACTGTCCTAATAATAGTAACAATTAAAAAATACTTACTAGGGGCTTGTGCTTAAAAAGTTTCTACTGGCTGGGTGGGCCCTTGGGTGGGGCCCATCCACACTGGGGACTGAGCTATATTAGTTTGAACTGTTTTCAATCAAGTTCCCTCAACACAGTTTAACAGTGGGTGGCTGCATTCTGCTCTCTCCCTATGCAGAAGCCTACTGAGATATCAAAGCAGGTTGCATGGTTGTAAGTGAGGGCACAACTGAGCCCTCACTGCTAGGCCAGTGGGCATAACCATTTTAAACCCATTCCGCTAAGACAGTTTAATTCCCAGTGCAGAGATTGCCCTGGGAACTGTAATTGATACAAATATTTTTTTCCTACTCTGGACAATTTCTGGACTAAGTTCTTAGCACAATGAGCTCTTTGTTTTTTTCCCCATAGTAGAAATAAGCGCAAGTATATTTTCTCACAGTACAAAGGACCTTATTCTTGTAATGTTATATAAAGCTAAATAGCTTGGCAAGATATAATGTGCACTAGTACCACTAATGGTCAGGAATAGCACAATAGTCAGTCCTAAAAGACAAGTGAGATCCTTTAATGGATGTTAAGGCCTCAGTTTTAAACAACATGGATTAAGTTTAAGTGCCACAGTTTTGACCTTGGTGCCGCAAATTGGGCATCCAAAATTAATGGACACTGTTTAGTTTCTTCCCCTAAATCTCTTTGGTAGAAAGTAACCAAATAAGTGGTGCTGCACACAGAATGCTTACCACCCTCCATGCATTAAAAATGTATTTTAAAAATACGATAGAGATTTATGGACTTTTCAATGAAAGGTGAAATGGTATGCTTTGTGTTTGCTTTTTTTTTTTTTTTAAAGAAAATCCCCTCAAATTATATATATAATGAGCGAATACTTTACACCGTCAAAGAACCTCACATATATTAACTGGTTAACGCTCATATCCCCCTGCAATCTAGGTAAATACTTTGCCATTTTACAGATGGGGAAAATGAGGCACACCTCTTTGGGGCAGGGACTGGCATTTATTTTATACTTGTACAGTACCTAGTATAAGGGGGCCCAACTTGGTTGTGGCCTTTACGAGATACCGCAATAGAAATGTTAACACAGGTTAATTGATCAGTCCAGCGCATTACAGTAAGTCAATATCTGACCCAGGATTTGAATGTAGTAGAACCCAGATGTCAGTTTTCTACTCGGCTAAGGTTTCTCTTATTATTTATGTATACTTTGGAATATGCAATTTGACTTTTTTTGTGTACTTGAAATGATCAGAAAACCTGACTGTTCTCAGATTTTATTTTAACTGGGTGATGACATAGGCTGGGGTTGGCATCTTCCAATGAAGGCAGAAATGGAAATTTCAGGAGAAAAAAGATCCCAGATTTGTTGACTCTGAGTTGGAACAAAATTTAACAAAGCGAGGCTGTCTCCACAGAAGCATTCCTTTTCAAATTTCCCCCCTGTCACACCACCCTTACAGCTGCTTCATCAGCAGCAGCCAGGTGCTAGTGTAGACTGTCTGCCAGCATTTTAACCACAGATCTAGAGGTGACTGTGATTAAAATGCTTCCAGTGGAAATGATCACACGAAAGGAAATGAAGAATTAATTTCTCATCTGCTAGCAACTGCTCAGCTACAAATAGCCGCTCACTGTAAAATTAAAAATAGTCCAACTCTAGAGGAATGGTTCAAAAAATAAGGGCATTTGTTATGGAAAAATTAACACTCCACTGATGTACCCAGCAAAATATACACAGAACAAACAGATACTTGGATATTTGGTTACCATTTATTCAATACTCAGGCAAAGTACATTCACTTGCAACCCCCATCCCCCCAGCACACCCGTCCAGTATTCTTCAATATTAACATTTGATAGACATTCCTGGTCTATAAAATGCATGTAATCAGAGATTTCTCTCCATTTAATAAAATCACTAGAAACGATACGTATTGGGGGCTGTAATGATACTCACACTATAAGATGGGAACACCCTGTGAAACAGAAAGAAAAGGAGTACTTGTGGCACCTTAGAGACTAACAAATTTATTTGAGCATAAGCTTTTGTGAGCTACAGATAACTTCATCGGATGCATCTGATGAAGTGAGCTGTAGCTCATGAAAGCTTATGCTCAAATAAATTTGTTAGTCTCTTAGGTGCCACAAGTACTCCATTTCTTTTTGCGAATACAGACTAATACGGCTGCTATTCTGAAACCTGTCACTATGCAAAGCCTGTGAAACAGAGAGATCTGATGACTATATTACTCTATAATGTCTCTTTAAACAAAAGCTCATTGTAGTAACGATTATTGTTCTGCTTCTGAATCTTACATGGCAAGGATTTGTAAACCTGTTAATACTTCCTACATAAATAAATAGCAATAAATACTAAAAATGCTTTCAGTGTTCACGCTTCGAGTAGTACAATGGTGGGAAATTTGACGAGAAATGAAAGTGAAATGGGGTACAAATGCAATAAAATATAAGGTATTCAAAAGTACAGCAAACGGAGTGGGGGTGGGTGCCAAAGATGCTCCCCACCTGGGCCGTCATTTGGTCTAGGGCGTGCCCTGGCCATGAGCAGTGCCTTTTCCCATTTGTTCATCATCTGCTGATGGGAGCAGTTTATCTACACTCTGGCTCTTGCCACAGCTATCCAGGGCTTAGTGACCCTCTCTCTGCAGAAGCACAGTATGACATCATTGTCGAATGGCTGCGCTTGCAGAGCTGTGTTAGCCACACAAAGCATACCACTCCATCATGCCAAGGCTGCACTGACTCCAGATTCACTTCTGGGTGTTATTCAGTATATTTCTATTGATTACATGTGGTTTGGAACCTGGTTACCTGTGGAAGCCACCTCTATCCCATTGTAACAGCTGAGATAAGCTGATGTGCTTTTTCTAACAGTCCACAAATTGGACTGTCTAGGGGTTGGTGGCAGAGTATATTGCATGGAGGCCATATCTACCCTCCATTCAGTTTCCCTCGGCCATTTGTCCAACAAAACCATTCTGCTGTCCTTCAGGGCATGACGTAAAGCTCTTCTGTTTACTGAGAGTTTTGCCTGTAGGGGAGAGGCATATCTCTGCTTAGCTGATTGTGGGGTTATCTCTTTAGATTTAGTTGAACAGACAACTAATTTTGTATTGTTTGTATTGCATCCGATGAAGTGAGCTGTAGCTCACGAAAGCTCATACTCAAATAAATTGGTTAGTCTCTAAGGTGCCCCAAGTCCTCCTTTTTTTTTTGCGAATACAGACTAACACGGCTGCTACTCTGAAACCGGTATTGTTTGTGATACTTTATGTACATGGGCCCAGAGCCATTGTGATGGGTACATTTAAAAAATATATGTAAGCCCTGTTCCCAGGGGCAGATTAACGCATGGGCTCATGAAGCTCTTGCCCAGGGCCCCTGGCCAATTTGGGGAGCCCCAGAAAAATCTCATGATGCTAGAGCAGGAGGATTTAGCTGCTGGCTGGGCTGGACATGCTTTGGGCAAGGCTTCTTGGATGAATTGGTGTGGAGATCAGCAAATGACTGTGACTGGAGGGAGCAGCAGCAGCCGCCACCTCTACGTCTCCTGCTTGTTTTCTTCGCTGCTGCCCATGGCTTCTCACTGCCACTGGTGACGGGGTCCCCCTGCCTCCTCCTGTGTCTGGCTGGGTGGCTGGGGACAGGCAGTGAAGGAAGATATAGAACACCACCTCCTGCTGCATCTCCTCCAGCCCCAAGCTGTGCAGAAATGCCCACCCCGGCTGGAGTCCTACGAGCCCGAGCTGAGCTGCGAGGACACGGGCTGCAACCTGCAGCATATCAGTGACCAGGAGAACATAGACGGTAAGAGGGGTGGGGTGGGGATCTGCTGGGATGGGGAGCTCCCCACAGCCAGGGGAGCCAGGGAAATCCCCCTTACAGCTTCCCCACCCCCCCGGGGCCGGGGAAATCCTTACTACCTCAACCCACAGGGGCAGTCCCCAGGGAAATGCAACCCCCACAAGCACACGGGGAGCCAAGGGCAGGGGACTCTCTGTTGTCTTGCTCAAGGTGGGGAAACATGGAAATCGCCAATCCTTCCACCCCACATGTACTGTGGGAGCCCCTATTGCCTCTTCCTTACCTCTCAATGTTCAATCACTTCTCTCCCCAAGGCGGGACCTATTCTCTCCCCTCCTCTTCCAGTTTTTTTCCTGTGTCTTTTGCTGATTGTAAATGTATGGTGAGACAGAAGCTTTCTTTGGGTTTCTTTATACCTCCATCCACAGTTTCGAGG